GAGGGGTAGAACCCCTAACAAATGACCGCAAACTATGAGGGGACTTGAGCTCTGAATACTCTACACAACTGGAGGTAGGTCTTATATTTGTCCACAATATAAGTGTAAATTGTAAATGCTAAGGGGTTGTTAAAGGGGACTTGAGCTCTAAATACTCTACACAACTGGGGGTAGGTCTTATTTTTGTCGACAATATAAGTGTAAATTGTAAATGCTAAGGGGTTGTTATAGTGTTATAAACGTATTTGCCTTTCATATAAGGTTTAAGCATTGGCTATGTGGTTTTATAGCAACGTGAATAGCCTGGTATACAACTACTACAAGTTATAACTCAAGGATTCAAAGTGTACTACCTGGAAATCGTAGCAAACACAAGCTCTTACGAGTTATACACTGTTATATGCTACTGGAGTATGCTATATATAAGAAATGGTTATTATTGAAAATTCCCTGTTGTCACAAAGTGTTATACAACTCGTTCAAAGTATAAATGTTTAAATGTTATAACAAAAGACTGGCATATAAAGCTTTTAAACACTCGATAAGTTACAGAAAAATTAAATATAGTAGAATACATGATAAAATTACTCTAAATACGAGCTATAGTTGATTTTTTAACATTATGCCACTTTTTCTAAGGCTCACACAAAATGGCACAGTTTGTCTATTATAACAGACTAATATGTTTTATGCCAGTGCGTCAATGGAGTATTCAGTTCGAAAAGTTAACTAAGTCCAAGCACAGCAGTGCATAACTGTTCCACATGAAGAGCTTTCCGGCAAAAGGATAACATTATCACAGTTCGTGAATATCAGAAATCAGTAATAAGTTCAACTGAACTGTTCTATTTTTCAAACGAGTTGCAATAGGGTTGTAATACCAAAAAGTTTTTCGACCTAACTAAGCGAGCTTTCAAAAAACTCTACAAACTTTAAGCTCTCAACAGCAAAAGCTTCATAGTCTAAACACCAAGGATTTAGTCATTTAATTATAGCAGTTTTATAAAACATAGAATTCTCATGCTATAAATATAAGTATAATTATAGGAAACAATAAACCAGAATATGGGGGCTTTTCGTAAGTAAAGTATCTTAAATTAAAGAAAATATAGTTAAATATATAAATTGATACAAATTCTATAAACCTAGCATAGCTTATGTAGGTACTAGAAAGAAAGCCATTTAAAAAATTAGACTCTTTTAGAAAAACTAGTATTATTTAAACCAATTTAAAAGTCTCCTTGGCGAAAGACTCTGAATTCCTCAGTAAAGAGGTTTTATAGAGCACATCCAAATATATTCCAATTCTGAAAACTCCTAAAATATGTATTATTATATTTTTCCTCGCATGACTTAAATGCACTTTAAGTCGAACAACTGTTAAAAATCAACTGGAACTAAAGAAACGAGCTGGTGGAACGAAGACAGAATGCGAGGCCTGCCAAAAGTTGGCCAAGGCTTATCAATATGATGTGTCTTAAGTATGCGTATGTCGAGTGGCTTATTTTGGGGCTTAGGCGTAGGCGCTGGTAAAAGGCCAAGTAAGCCAAACGATTGAAACACATTGATAACAAATGGCCAACTCTGTTGGCCAAGTCAAAAGTGCGTCATGTTTACGCAGCGTGGGATTTGCAAAGAGCTTTCAACTTATACGAGAACTCATAGGAACAACAACAGCAACTAACAATTAAAAACGCCTGGAATGACGGATGAGATAGAATGATGGAAGAGCCAAACGATTTTTAAATAGCAATAAGGCAAACAATAACTATCGAGGCTTAAACAAAATGATAAACAGCCGAGAAATATATTAATATAATGACACATTTTTTAGGCAAAAAAATGCTTCAAAAAAAGGTGGAACAAATTTAAGACTTATTTTAATATATTATTTAAGATGTTAACTGTGAGTATTTCCTAAGGAATTCACGATTAAATATTAAATAAAGTATTTCCCATAATGAAAACTAAACAAAAAACTGAGAATCTGAATAATTGAATAAAGAATGAATTATTTAATATATAAACTGCGTCAACTGTTTAATGCAGTATCAAAAACAAGGCAATCAATCAATAATATAATTTTGCTCCTTTAAAGAGGTAAATATTAACTGAACGATGTATCCATACGCTAGGATATTTATTTGTCTTAAATGTATGCTTAAAAACAATTTTTAGGTATAATAACAAGCTGAAGAGCAATAAAACCTGACATATTTGAGAATGCCTTGATTTGATTTGTTTTTAATTTGAATGCTTTTGGATTCTTCTATAATATGTTCGCTTCTCAGCAATGGAAACTATATTAAATTCTTGCTTAAATTAAGAACCTAGTCGTTAACAGAAAAGAGAAAATATAGAACCCCTTCCATAAATTTAGACCGTAGCCATTCACAGAAAAGAGAAAAAATCTAACCCCTTCCCGCTTAGTAAATTGATTGAATATTTGATTGAATTTTATAGAGTAAGTAACTCCACAAAGGCCTTTCTGTCCAATTGGAATCATGTTGAATAGGGTATTTGAATCGATTTTCATTTCCGCATAGAAATCAATGGAACCCCGCTGTTCCATAGCTCAATTTCGTTTCATTTCCCAACTGCTTTGACACATTTATTTTTAAACGGAATATCCCATTCCTGCGGCAGTTTAAATATAGATACAGGACACGTTTAGATGGAACACATACCCCTCATCCGCAGCAGCAACAATTAAAGGGAGCAATTCTGACCCTAGTCAAGGAACTGACTGCAACCCTTATGTGTGCCCAGTGGGACGCACAAAATGCATCCATATGCGCACCAAAACGAATCTCAAAAATTGCCCAACGACTCCGAGATGCGAGCAACTAATTAAAGTGCCGCCCCTGCCGCAACCCGTCTTCTGCTTCTACCTTAGTTTTAGATTCAGCAAATGAGAAGTCATTTTTTTGGGGCAGCTAAAGAAGGAAATGAGCAGAAGAAACGCTCGCAAAGCTTATTGATTCCGGCTCTGATTCGGGTGAGCAAGTAGGGCAGCAGCGGGATGTAGTGGGGAGGGGCGCTTGTAACGAACCAATTTCAATAAGGAAATTCTTAATTTTGACAGGCCCATTTGGCACAAAACTCCATTAATGGCCAACTAATGAGACAGCCAGCGGGGGCGGGCGGGTGTAAAAATTTTAATTTGTTAAGCAATGTGGCGAGGGGGGTGGGGGGTGGGGGGTGGGTGGTGGGGGGTGCTAACAAAACACTTTTAAAAACTTTCGAACTGATAAAAATAGTTAAAGGCGACAGTTTGTTAAAGTTTCTGCTGCTCTCGGAGTGGGGGCAATTAACTGGCCGCACATTAAATGATAACAACAGGCCCGGCTGGCAGGGGTGGGGGCATGGTGCGGGCATGGGCGTCGTGTAGGTGCTGCTGCACGTCCAATAAAGTTTGGACAAAAGAAAGCAACAACAAGAGCAACAAAAACAAATGGTTGCAAGTTCTAAAGGGCATTGCAATTTGGGTCAAGCCAAAAGGATAATGCGGTTCGCGGCTAACACAAACATAAATAAAAAAACAACCAATAGCCGACTGCGAAATGCTCTGTACACAGCTTGTCTAGCTCCAATAACGCGGGAGACAAGCTCTCTTGTGACTGTGTAAAACAAATTTTAATTTAAGCTAAGGCGAAAATGTGTGCGAGCAGACAAATATCGAATATACCCCCTTTCACTTTGTGAACAGCGTATAAAAACAAAAGCACATGCATACACACACACACGCACACACAGATAGCAAGTACCGCTAAGTCACAAAACTTTTGATGTCGCTTCTTCTTGCTCCACTGCTGGTGCTGCTGCACTTTTTGGTTGTTGTGGTTATGATAGGGATTATGGGCTGCGGGTAGGCGGGGGATAACAGCCTAGGACAGAGTCCAATTAGAATGCGCTGTTGCTTCAACTTTCGACTGGCGCGCGCTGTTAAATTGCCGTTGTTGTTGTTGTTGTTGTAAACATATAAGCTGGCTGCGTTCAGGCCCGCCTACGCAGCCGCTGGACCCGTTCAATAACGACAGCAGCCGCCGCAGCAGAAACTATAACAACAACAGCTAAGCAGCACCGCACATGTTAGCTGCGCTGCTGGCGCTGGCGCTGGCTTAGCATACCGACGTAATATAATTGTTTAAATGCACACTTAGAGTCGAAAATTACTAGCAAATCGATTTTTTTTATACAAACACTTACACACACACACACACACACACACATACATTGCGGCGCGTACGTGCGTAAAAAACAAGTGAAAAACGCCGACTGCGACGACAAGAGCAGCGCGCTGCTTGTGCAAGCAAAGCAAACACAGCTTAAGCAAGAACACGCTTATTTTATTGATTCTTACTAATAGTAATTAAGAACTTACTTACACACTGAATTTCGCGGAAAATATTTCGCACTATTTTCTTCAATTTGCACTGTGTGCAGCGCGAGCACGACGCGTTCGTTTGTTTTTTTTTTTTTTTTTTTTTTTGGTTTTATGTTTCAGTTAGTTTAACAGTAGCATAAACTCGTAATGGCACTGTTACGTACTCAAAATGGTCATGTTAAGTTGAATATCCAGGGATGGGGCAACAAGCAGCTGCTGCTAAAAGTTGTTTAAATTAAATAAGTTTACTAAGGTGTTTGTGTTTGTGTTTTTCTAATGTTTTTTTTTAAAAAGACGCACTTGATATGCCCGCATTAAATTTGATTGGTTTCACAGCTGTTTGTTTTAATTACTGGCGGCTTTTTGTTTGACTTGCTGCTCGCTTTGATTTTGTTTCGGGCACTTTTTTAGCTTGTTTTGTGCATTTGTTTATAAATGTTAAACGTTTGCAATGCGGCTTATCCCTGTTTTTATTGGTTTCCTTAATTGTTGGGCCGCCTGCGCTTTAATAAACGCTTTTTAAAGCACTTTGTTTTCATTGGTGAGAAATCGATTTTTTTTTTATTTTTGATTTTCTGCTCGCAGTATAAAAATTAAAAATTTGCTTATTTTAAATATTTGAAGCACTTTTATTAATGCACAATAGCGCCTGGTGGCACATGGTTAAACGCTTCTCTAATGCTTGCTTTAATACAATTCTTTTGGTTAGCGTTTAAGTCAATTTTAAACAAATTCCCTGCCGTAGCAGACACGAGGAAGCGCACGCTGTCAACTGAACTAAATTCCTTCATAAAGGATATTGGCCATTTGGCGCTACCCCCATATAAAAAACAAAAAAAAAAACATCCATGGGGGTGACTGTGCGCCCGCCTCTGACATGGACATGCGCAGTGCGCGGCGACAATTCAAATAAGCGCGCCCAATTGGAGTCTAATAGGAAAAGATTTGCGTGGTGCTGGACTCCGCGTGCTCCACCGGCAGGATGCTTGCGCTGCCATCGCTGGCCAGTACCAGCTGCTGCTGTGGCTGTGGCGGCACCTCGGGCTTCATTAGATGATTGTAAATGTTTTCTATGGTGGGTATGCCAGTTGCTGGACTCGGGAAGGGCAGCTCTGCTGCTTTCGCTGTTGGCGCCTTGGGCTTCTTGCCGAAGGCGAAGCAGCCGCTCTGCTTGGTGGCCACCGGCGACAGATTGTCCTTGTTCTTTGTGCTGCAAGCGAGCATAAATATCTATAAATAAAATGCCTCTCGAGCCAATCCACGAGCTATACCCACAATGCTTTCAGCGCCTCCAGCTTGGGTATGTTGCGATTGTAGCTCTTGCCGCCGCCTGCCGCCTCCTGTGCGGCCAGCTCCTCGGGATGTGACTTCTTTTTGTGCGTGCGGCAATTGGAGCCGTTGGCAAAGGTGCGGTCGCAGAAATCGCACGAGTATGGCTTCAGTCCTGTGTGCAGAATGAGATGGTTTTTGAGAGCCTTGGCACGCTTGAACTCCCTGCCGCAATAGTCGCATTTGTGCTGCATCTGATCCGTGTGAACCAGCCGATGACGGTTGAGCGTGGGTCGCGAATTCAGCTGCATGCCGCATTCGGGACAGATGTACTTGTGTGGATCGTGCGTCTCCTTGTGATGTTTCAGCCGGCTTATGCTCTTGAAGCACTTCTTGCACACATCGCACTCGTAAGGCGCGTAATCCGTGTGGCTGAGCAGATGCTCCTTGAGCGCGTGCAGCGAATGCACCGCCACGCCGCATTGCTCACAGATGACCGGACGGGGTCGCTCCTCCTGATGCATATACTGGGCATGCGATTGGGCGGAGGCGTTCGTGGTGAACTTCTTGCCACAGCTGCCGCATGGATAACGCTTGCGCTTCGGCATGGGCAGATGCTGTTGCATGTGCCGCTGCAGCTGGTAGCGTGACCGGAACTGCTTCTCGCACTGCTCACAGGCTATCAGCTTGGTCGAGTCTGCTTCGGTCTTGTCATGGTCCTGGCGCATGTGCCGCTGCAGCGTTTGCGGCAGTGCGTAGATCCGGGGGCATTCGCTGCATTGATAGGATTTGCCTGGCCTGGCTTTGTGCGGCTTCGGCTGGACAGGCTTGGCGCTATCCAAAGAATTGGTCTCGTCCTGACTGTATACTTCGCATAGATTCAGCAGCAGCTCCGTGCCCGCATCTTCGTATCCGGACTGCTCCTGCTCCAGCTCCTGCTCCTCTACATCCGCCTCCTCCGCCTGTTCGTCTTCATCCTCTAGCTGATCTTCTTGGTCAACTGCTGCTGCTTCTACTCGTTCCAGCTGGTCAACTGTTTTCGTCTCCACACTTTGTACGCACGGCGTGAGCGGATTTTCCAACTCCAACGACGTCTCCTCCAGCTCAGTCAGCTTCGGTTTCTCCTCCACATAATGCACTTCGGTTAGCGTCTCCGGCTCTGCCTCCAACTGCTGGTGCCGCTCCTCGAGCAGCCCAAATCTGGCGCGCAGCTCCTGCATATTGACCGAATCCTTGGGCGTGCTCTGCAATATGCAATAGAGCTTCTGCACGCGCGTTATGCGCTCCGAAAAATTGACCAGCGATGTCACCAAACTCAGGCACTCGCTGCATATCATCTCCGGCAGCTCCTCGCCGCGTGTTATCTACAAATATTGCTAATCTGTATAGAAATTCTATCCAATCCTCAGCCACTCACATTCACCCAGAAGTATTTGCCAATGGCTGTGGCTAGCGCCATGTCGCTGACTGCAGCAGCGCCAGCTGCTGCTCCATTTCCATCTGCCATTTGCTCGCCCGGAGCTGCAGTCTGTTCGTTTTTCAAAAACACATTTATATTTCCCTGGAGATCGTCCTTAGCGCAAAGGCGACACCACAGCAGCCAATCGCTGGGTGCACTTTGCTGCTCGTCTGCAGCCATTTGTACTATTTACCAATATTGCACTAGCTTTCTAAGTACTTCATAGCACTAAAAATCATTTTTAAATAAATTATATTCAATTTACTAATTGGGAAATGCTAACAATAACTGTTTTTGTGATTATTATTTTAACAGCTGTTGGTTGGCAGCAGCAACAACAACAACAGGGTGCTGTTATCGTTGGGCACAAGCACTGCAAGTGGCGGTCAGCGATAGTCACTTTAATATGACAACAATAATAATACATTAATAATCGACGGGTAGATAAGAGTGTATCCTCGACGTATTATTGCGTTCCGATTTTTATATGATTAATTAAACCTCTTTTTTACTGAAGCAGCTCTAAGTAGCATATCAGTTTAACATACTGTTAACATAGCAGATGGAGGCGGCCGATAGTCATTTTCGATATAATTTACAGCGTATTAACATTTGATTATCGCTGCGTTGTTTATATATCAGTTGGCACTTGTTTTGTTTTTACACACGTAAAATCATTTCTAATTGCAATAAGGGCCATAAGTGCTATTCGTAAAGGTGTGGAAATAACATAGCTTCCATTAAGGTTAAGCGCATCTTAAATCAACATACAAGCATTAAGCTTTGATAATCATTTTACAGGGCATTTTATGGCAGGCATAATTTTATGTGACATTTTGCCTTTTACAATTGTGAAATTATTAAGGGAAACTTGCAATAATGTTTGAGGCACGCCTGAGCAGCACAGCGCTGCTAAAAAAGATTGTGGACGCGCTCAAAGAGATATTACACCAGAGCACACTCGACTGCAGCGATTCTGGCATACAGGCAAGCTCCCATCTGTCATTCCCATGGGTAAAAACCATATCAAATTTCACTCCAGTTGCAGGCCATGGACAGTTCGCATGTCTCGCTGGTATCCATGAGCCTGCGCAGCGACTGCTTTGAGAAATATCGCTGCGATCGCAATTTGTCGCTGGGCCTGGATCTCAGATCCCTGACCAAGGTGCTCAAGTGCGCCAGCGGCGATGATGCCGTCACCCTCAAAAGCGCGGACAAGTCGGACAAGCTACAGCTGAGCTTTGAGTCGTCCAGCATGGATCGTACCGCCGACTATGAGCTGCGTCTGCTCAATCTGGACCAGGAACATTTGGCCATACCCGAGACAGACTACGCTTGCGTGGTTCACATGCCAGCCACGGAATTCGCACGCATCTGTCGCGACCTGTCCACATTCAGCGAGTCCGTGGTGATTGCCTGCTCCAAGGATGGCATTAAATTCTCCGCCAACGGCGAGATGGGTTCGGTCAACATTAAACTGAGTGAAACGAGCAAGGGAGATGTTAGCCTGCAGGTGGAGGAGCCAGTCACGCTCTCCTTCGCCGGACGCTATCTGACCACATTCACGCGTGCCACGCCCCTGTCTGAGAAGGTGAAAATTAGCATGGCGCCCGAAGTGCCGCTGCTGGTGGAGTATCCCATCGAGGATTATGGCTATATACGCTACTATCTGGCGCCCAAAGTGGACGAACCTGATGGCTGAGTGCAATTTTTAATTTCATGTGCAATATTTGTTTTGTTAACTCTTATATTTATAAGTTGTTTACTTTTGACCGAAGAACTTTAATTTATTCATAACTTGTCTAGCTATTTAATAATAAATCCGTGTAAATTCCAAGCACACACCTATTATTCAATTTGTTTGTGCATCTAATAAACATTTTCATTGCATTTAAATTTAATATGGTTTATATTTCGTGACTGTTTTTTTGCTCATCTCTAGTTGTTATCGCTATGCGATTATCGTTTAAATTGTGGTGGCTGCCGATTAATCGACCATGAACAGCTGTTTCATGAATTTCGGCCCGCAGACAGTACAAAATTGTAATCAATTTATTAGGTAATAAAGCTGAATTAAACAATGCTCAAATATTTAGCAAGACCGCTGCAAACAGCGACGCGCAGTGCTACGCGTTCGCTTTGCAGCAATCTAAGCGGTAGCAGCACAAAAACAACAACAACATCGACGACCAGCACAACTGGCGGTCCAACGATTGAGGTCAACAAGGCGATCAATGGCTGGGCGGACAAGCTGAAGGCCGCGGGCATCCAAGACACTGAGTTCAATATCAAGTGCATTGTGTCGCATGTGCTGAACCGTAAATTTGTGAGTGATACCCTGTACATATATAGAACTCTCTCTAAATGAAAACCAAACCAAATAGAACACCGTGCCGGATGACTTTACTCAGCTAAAATTCAACTCCGAGCAGCTGGCGAACTTTGAGCGCTTCCTGGAGGCACGCTGCGCCCGCATGCCGCTGCAGCACATCATCGGCGAATGGGATTTCATGGACATTACGCTTAAGACGGCGCCTACTGTGTTCATACCACGCCCCGAAACCGAGGAGTTTGTGCGTCTGGTCATCGAGAACTACAGGCAAGCCAAGCACGTGAACATGCTGGAGGTGGGCTGCGGCTCCGGCGCCATGTCGCTGTCCGTGCTGCACGCATTACCCCAGGTGGACGCAACGGCCATCGAGCGCAGCAAAGTGGCCACTGTGCTAGCCTGGCAAAATGCGAATCTGCTGGGTTTGCAAGATCGTTTCAAGGTGCACAACCATACCATGGAGGAGGATAACTATATGCCGACTGAGCTGCAGGATGTGCAATACGATCTGATCATATCAAATCCCCCGTACGTGAAGACCGAAGAGTTCCAGTTTCTTCATCCCGAGGTGGTCGTGTAAGTCCTATATCTATATATATATACATATATATTTCTGTAGCTGGTAAATTAACTGATTGATCAATCAGTTTAAACCTCTTGCAAAAGTGGAAAATTGTTGAAAAGCATTTGAGTGAGACTTTTTGTTTTCATCCCATCTGTTCCCAAAACATTTCCATTTTCCTTTTTGTGAGAAACCATTTAACATTTTGCAAAATAAACTTGACCATGCTGGAAAATGGAAAAGTTGAAGGTTACATGGACAACATTTTAATTTTCTTCCGATCCGTTTCAAACTAATTTTCAAAGCTTTTAAAATTCAATTACTGAATTCCTTTAATTACTGATTGCAAAACCAAATCCAAGATTTATTAATTAAGGAAAAATTGTTCATACTATTTTTATCTTTATCCGATTGCCTTAAATATTTGAAGTGGGTTTCATACATGTGGAAATTTTTGGGTGAAAATGTAGCGCAAAAAAGGATGGGATAGTGATAAGCCTTAAAGAATCTAAAGCTTGGCTCAGGCAAAGCCGGTTAATGTCTGCCATTATACATTTATTCTGATCTGATATTTCATATTTTGTTTTCTCGCCCGCAGCTATGAGAACCTGAATGCACTGGATGGCGGCTCGGATGGTTTGCGTGTGGCGCGTTTGGTCTTCGACTTGGCCTGTCGCCATCTGCGATCCGGCGGCAAATTGTGGCTGGAATTGGGCAACGAGCATCCGCCGCTGGTCAAAACCATTATGAATCTGAAGTATAAGGGACGCCTCAATTTTGTGGGCAGCTATTTTGATCAGTATAAACGCGAACGTTTTGTGCAATTGGAGAAGGTCTAGGCGACGACGACTTGGGCTGCCATTTAAACTAGCTCATTTGGACATGATTAATGCAATTAGAATTAGTCGCAAATGCATCTATCTGTGATTTGACCTACATACAAGCTGCCTGAGAGGCTGAGATATACCATATATATAGATAAACATATGTATATATATAATTTATGGATTGCATTGAGCATTTCGCTTCTGGCGCATGCAAACAAAGACGCATTTCAGAGTACGAAAACAATAGGCATTTCCAATTAATGCACTTAATTTTATTGGTTTACATTATTCATGTTGTTCATAAGCTACAAAATAAATCCGTAATAGCCACTACAACAACAACAACTATTTAATCTAGGTCCTCTGTGCACAGTGAGTTGAAAGCGGTTGGAAATGAAAGAGCATCGCTTGCAAATAAATGCCTGATTAATTTATGAAAACATATATTATTTTTATGTGAAATTAAGAGCTTTAGTTCTCACTCTCTTGTGTTTTCAACTCCACTTAATATTTATTTGTATTTTATTTATCTCAGAATTTAAAACGCACGAACATAGTTCTCGCTTGAAAATAAGAACTCTCAGAAAAGTAAGCCTTTTGAATCGGGTTAAAATTTCAATCAAACATGACTTTGATTTTTTTTAACAACTTTTGTGTATTCAATTTAATTGAAATTAAATTTAATTTAATTTTTGTCTACAAAATTATTTGGCGAGAAAGGTATTTTTCGCATATTAAAATCAATTGGAACTGAAGACTATTGAACATTGATTAGCGAAATCAGGACTATATTCATATATTGAGGCTTACTTAAATCCAAATGAGTGCTTAATAAATCTCAAATTCCAAATTCCAAATAGAAAATGCCTTATTAATGTAAATTTTAGAAACGATCAGGGAAAATGCTGCATACCACAAAATTGCCAAATTGTGATTGCTCAGGAAAATCAATTTAAAATAAAGTTATCCGCAATTAAAATAAATTCAATGTACATTTTTTACGATTCGGTCAAAAATTATGTGAAATTAAACTCAAATTTGCAAAATTAATAATAAATAAATAAACATTCAGTAAAAGGAAAATTGGTTTTACTCACGTATTAAATGAAATTCCCTTTTGCGATTTGTGTGCATCTTGTACCACTGTGCAACAGTCCAGAGCAGCTTTCACGCTGCTTGGGCTTTTGGCGATTTTACCGTTATCAATCCGAGCAGCTGGTGGTCAGCTCTAAAATATTAGACAGTCATTAACAAGCGAGCCCAGTGTCATTTTTGGCAGGGGAGAGGGCTTGGGCATGGGGGCTGACTCAATGCTCTTTTTTTCAGCTATTTTTTATGGAGCGGGCAGTGGGACGCGCGCACATGTTGAGCGTGCTGCAGTAGCCTGGGCACACTTGTCGCTCATTAATAAAAGTTTGCCAAGCAGCGAGCGCCATTATTTTTGCAGGTATAGAGACATTGACCAGCAGCAGCAATAGAAGCAGCAGTGGCAGCAGTGGCAGCATCCCACGCTGCTGGCGCTGCTCTGCTCAACTGTAAACATTCCAGTGAGCGAAGCTTTCACTCAAGCATTGAG